CATTACGGTGAGGTGAGAGTTTTCATGACCTGCTGTTTATAAGTAAACCATTTTTGTTTCTTTTACATCAGTTGCTTTATTTTCTATCATATCAGACATTACTGGAGTTTCATCAATATTTTTAGTATATGACAGTAAATAATATTTGGTAAAATCCTAGGAGAGCCCACACCCTTGGTGACAAACTGGGAAAGTGAAGAATCACCCACTGCTTCGCACGTTTCTCAAAATTGCTAACTTGAAAATAACAAGTCAAAAAATTGCACAAACTCTGTATCCATGAAATTAATGTCAAATGTCATGAATATATGTTATTTTCATGACGTTTGACCAATTTTGACGTAAAAAAAACATCCCTGAATTGCACAAACTTGGCATTGCACACTCCCTTAACTTTGTCCATGTACACATCGATACTTGCCATATAAGTGGGCGTGCCAAGGGTGTAGGTTCTGCTAGGATCCAGCCCAATATTTTTGCCAGTAACCTACTTCTGGAAAATTATCAATTTGTTGTCCAAACTTTTGGAAGCATTTGCAAAACTTTTTTTCCTCTACATTATACCAAAGTTGCTTTAAAGTTTTCGCTTTCACTTGCATTCTGTTTTGCCTACTGTAAGGCAAATGAACGTACACTGTTTCTTGTTACATTCTGGAAATTTTCTAGCCCTCTCTATGTAATATATGTAAAATTCCATACATAAGGGGGGATTTCTTATTCATTACAGATAAAAATTTCTGCCAGCTTTTAATGTGTCCAATTTCGAGCAGTTGTATATTTAAAGAAAAGGAATCGTACAGAGAGTCTTTTTTTAATTATAATCAAGAAAATAACATATATTCATGACATTTTGAAGAACTTTGAAATTTCAGGACTAAATGTGTAACACTTGGAGAGCTAGGACCCAGTTTGCATCACTCTCCTTGAGGTTAGGCCATTTTGTTACTCCTTTGCAAAAAAGCACATTTATTCTTTGGCATATTCATTATTGTGATTTCATTTTCCTTCCATTCATGTATGGAGCTTTCACCAATACAAAGAATCCTTCCTGCAGCACGATTTTCATTTTCTTTCACAAATTGAGTGATTTTGCATTTTAAACCAGCACTGTGTTTGTTTTGTTTACTGGAGCTATATTTGCTACTAAAAGGAGCACTAGACAACTGTGTTTCAACTAAAGCAAATGTGATTTACTAAAGCCTTCGGTGTTTACTTCAAAATCGTGTCTTCAGATGAATACAGAAAGAGAAAACATCTGACTCTTAAATCCGTGAATTTTTTGAGGTCAAAAGAGCATTCTTATCCCAAATTATGTCCCCCCTTTCTTGAAATCCTATAACAACATTCTTGTTCACCTCTACAATGAATACAGCCCACCCTGTTTGCAGAATTATTTACTCCCTCAAGCATCCCTCCCACGTATATATTGTTTATAACTATCATTTGTTAATTTAGCATACCATTGTTCAGAAGGCTGGGAAAAATCTTTGAATGAATGACCTTTAAAAGATAAGAGCATCACACACGAATCTTCCATGTTTCTTTGTAAAGGAAAGGATACATGTTATAGTACACCGAATGTACCTAAAAATAAAAAAAAATGTAGTTTAAAATTATATGTGTGCATTATACATACACCAAATGCACATTATACAACAAAAGGTAGTAGAAGGTATTGGAATACGGGGTAGTCTGTGCACTTTTTTGTTCCATTTAGTTATATTTTGTAATAATTCAGTGTTTATTTTTGATATGAAGAGAGGCTAGACATTACCTCAATAAATGCTAATTTTTGTGTGGTACTTTTCTGTATATGCATCTTCCTCTTTGAACATTTTTGTTATCTGTCTCTTGGGTGACCATTTGATTAAAGCCTGTCACACTATAACTTAGTGATTTTGATGTTAAATAATATTTTATAAATTCGATGACCAGTTATGAAGATTATACAGTACAAAGTCTGTAATCCAAACGTCCATTATCCGGAGTGATCTATAAGCCAGACCTCAAAGCCAGAAACTTTTTCTTTGAATGCCTTACGCATGCGCGTAGTACGTTTACGCATACACATTTAATACTACGCATGCGCGTTTAATGTTTACACGTGCGCTTTTAGCACAAAAAACGAAGCAACTTAAAACAACTTACATTGAAAGAAATGTTTAATAAAGCAAACAAATAAATATTAAACTTTTTTTTTTGTAAATTTTGTTACCCTTTACTTCATAATTGCTCTTTATTTCATAAATTAGTTTCATATTTTTAACTGTATAATTTCTGCATGCCATCTTACCAGATTTAAATTGATGATCTATAATCCGGAAAAACCCTTAACCGGAATGGCCGAAGTCCCGTCGAGTCTGGATTACGGACTTTGTACTGTAATAATAATTTAAATGGGATTAAGCTGAGCCCAAATGATTTATGTAATAACAATTTGTACTGACCATTCATTGAGATATTTGGATAGAAAAAAGTTATCAGAGAGGGTCTGAATAGTGGATGAAATAATGTTGCCAGAACATTTGAAAACATAAATTCACATGATGAAACTACAGTTTTACAAGAACTCTTCCAAAACATATTTTTAATGTCTGAAACTGAATTATTAAGGGTTTGCAAAAAATAAAAGACCTAATTTATTTATTTTTAATATTATAATTAATTTTAATATTATAATAAATTAATTATAATTACAATATAATTAATATTATAATTAATTGTATTATAATTATAATTAATTTATTATAATTAGTTTAGGACACCTAATTTATTTACATGCTGTCAAGGTGGAAAATTAAGCAGACTGATAAATGGCACCAGTAAAAATCTAATGTATTTCAAAGGAGCTAAGAATTTACTAGCTACTTTAACAATAAAAGTGCCAGGATGATTTAAAAAATCTTCAATGATTTCTTATCAAATGGCATGTAGAACTGAAAAATAAAGAACTTCTACTGCTAGGCACTTGTGTATACTAAAGGTGTCTGCATGAAACATATAAGCTTGTGTTCCTGCTTTCAAACACAGCTTTTATCCTTAAATCCTTATATCAAGGAATTCATAAAGCTTTTAGATGTCATCATTGAAAGGTATTATGGAGAAATGAAGAAGACTGTTCGAACTGATGAGAAGTGAAGACTGTTCAAACTGATGAAAGTGCTAATATGTAGTAATTGTTCTTTTTATAATCGTATTTTCAAAACTGAAATGGTAAAAAAAGTATAGGAGTAAAACAACGAGTAAATGATGAATGAATAAAATGAAAATAGAATTTATGGAAATCGTTTTACTCAACAATTCTGTGATTTGAAGTGATTTGAAAGTGATGAAACATGTACTGAGTTTTTCAAAACTGTAAAAATTCTAATTTTTTGAAATTAATAGACATGTTTGGTAACCAAATTTTTTACTAAAAATTCTTAATTGATTTTCCGGTCCGTACTGCTGAGGGTGTTGTGCTTTACATTTATGTTAATAGAACCGCTAGACAAAGAATACAAAATAGGGGATTCCCCCTCCTCTGAAAACTATGAATTGATGAGTATATGATGCTCTCTTACTGTGTAATATGGAATCTGTGGTTGCTAATCATATTTAGAGCATCAGTAGAAATTATTTAATCCTGGAATTTTTCTATCATACTTTCTGACAATAATTGAGCCTGTGATTTTGAACATCATTCTACTGATTTTTAAGGGGGTGGAGGAATGTTTTAAAGTCGCTTAGAAGCAAAGAAAAATAATTTAGCTTGGGGGAAAAAGGCGTGAACTTTTTCAAAATTGGGCACAGTTTTAATGTTTTAATCTACATCAGTGGTAAAATTTAAGCTGAAAGTTATTTCCTAGTTTTCCTTGCTTGATTTCACTTTACCTGAAATGTCACATTGAAAATGGTATTTAGATATTTGTATAACTGCCTTCTTACAGAAGGTAGATTTTCTGAAGTTGATTGAACTGGATTTTACAGATGAAAAAGTAATGAATAATGAGTTGCAATTACAAAACTTACTTATTATACTTCTGCATTTGGTGTATGTATATTATTATATACAAATTTTGTGTTTTAATTACATATGTCTGAAAATTTATTTACCTTTCTTAATAACAGTTTTATGTTTTTCTTGTAGAAATTTTATGGTAATCGCATTAGAAAAAATTCAAAGCCATTGTTCAGTTTAGCAGTGTTGCAGCAAAATACTGTATTTTGGCAGAAATTTTACTACAGTTTCTTCCATTGTAGGCAAATCCTATATGTATCAGTTTTACAATTAAGACAAAAAAGTTTATTTCTATAAGATAATAGTACAGTAGTTCTGAGAATAATCCATTTTCTGCAGAAGTTTTAATCTTGTGAAATTTAATGTATTGATTGAGTTTCTCTGTTTGCTGAGTTTGTAGGTAGTATGGTATTTTTTTATTATTTATGGTACTGAAAACAGTTTGTATGAATTCGAATTAAGTTTCAAAATTTTTTGCAGTTTTCATAAGTGGCTTCTATTTATTTATTTGGACACATAATTGTAGTAAGCTACCATATTATGAAATTGGGGTTTTCACATTAAATGATGTACTGATATAAGCATACATTTTTATATTTGTATTCACATCTTGATTATTTTGCATTACCTGCAAATCTTATGGTCATATTATTTGTGCTGTAACTGAATTATTTTTCATTTGTGTAATGTCATGAAAAAGTTTTAAGTAATAATCAGCTTTGTCGTATCTTATTTGCTGAAATCCTAATTGTTATATATATTTGCTGAATGTGTTATTATTCTATATATATATGTGCTGTAACTGAATTTTTTTTTCATTTGTTTAATGTTAGGAAAAAAATTAAGAAATGTATCGCTTTTGCTGTACCTTTTTTGCTGAATGTCTTATTTTTTAAGTGTAAAGTGTCTAACTTTTATTGAATACTATTTTCAAATACAGATATATACATGTATACATTTAAAAAATATGAATTTTTTTTTTCCTTTTTTTCTTTTTCAGTTGGTAAAACTTCTCTGATCACAAGGTTCATGTATGATAGCTTTGACAATACGTATCAAGTAAGATAATTTTCAGTACTGTTTTCTTTAATTCCAATGTGTATGTAAAATTATTAGCAAGATCATTGTAGTAAAAATATTTTTGTTAATTATAAAATTGTTTCTTCATATATATGAAATGAAAATTTTTAGTGTCTACCAAAAACAATTTCTAGCACACTAGTGACATCCAAGTGAGTTAGAACCTGAAATACGGAATTCAAATAAGTTTGAAAAGTTTATTAAAGGGTAATAATTTAGATGTGAAATCTGTTGTGAGAAAATTGTGAACAGGTAAATGATGAAATAAAGGGTAAATAATGCATTTTTAGGGCTGTACTTGCAAACATTCTTAAATAAATTTTGTAAACTGTAAACGTGTGGACAAAAATGAAAATAAGTAAATATTTTTAACAAAAACAAACAAAATACATAATAGTTAATTGATATGAATGTAATTAAAAAAGAAACAGAAAAACCAGATTAAATTTTAGTATGATGACTAAGTGAAAAGTTCTTTTAAATATGCAGATCTGTCCCAAGCATACTAAACTGACCACACAAAAATGTGATAATTGCAATGATTATTTTAAAGGCATTGCAAAGAATTCCAAAATTGACATTACAGTAATCAGAAATATGGGTCATCTGGAAATTCTGTGGTTTTTCAAATTGCTGCACGCTTTCTTCTAATTTTTTTTACAACTTCTGATAATGCATGACCTTGATCAAGAAAGTTGTTTAAGTACAGTTTTTCCTGTTTATGTTTCATAATTCAATGTGTTGTGGCATAATTTTTTATAATGCAGTGTTGAGAATGGAGAATCCAAAAGTTCATTTTTGTCATATATTCTTTGATTTCGATGCTGTATAATAATGTTACAAGAAAAGCATTATGAAATAAGCCAAATAAACTTCCTTTACTAACATCGAGATGGTGGCTGCATCCACCAAAAATAGTACTTTGTGTATGGTGGGCTACAAAGGACATGCAAATTATGTATTGTTGCCGCCAAATCAGACAATAAATTCATAAAATACTGTTTCTAAATGGCAATTTTAAAATGAGAAATTAGAGCAAAGTGCCTAGAACTGACCATTTATCTTCCATCATGATGATGCTCGGCTTTACATTGATCGATGTCAGACAGACTTACTGGGTATGTGTAGGATGTTTTGTGTCACTATCCATATTGACCAGGCCTTGCCTCCTCGGATTTTCATCATGTCAGTTGACTTCGAAATTCTCTGAGCAGCCTGGAGTTCACTTTGGAGACCCTCAGGCAGCACCTTGATAATAACATCTTTACAAATAAGCCTAATGACTTTTTAAAAGAGGAGTTTTTCATCTGCTGGAGAGATAGCAAAAAGCCACAGACGAAAGTTGTGCTTTATGTGATTTAGTGAATTTTTCGTACGTTTTTGTGCTGTTTCATATGTATTTTATCATCAAAAGCCCACAAAACTTTCTGTGTGACCCAGTACTTTGAAATTTACCTATAGAAGCAAAGAGTTTCAAAACTCAAAAGACCACTGGTAAATATCATAAGATTGCAAATATATCTTTTTAAATTAGTGCTTGAATATGAGTGTCCCATTAATTGTATACAAAAATATAAAATCTTTAAATAAATGTATGTAATTTTACTTTTAAATGCAAACCCACTATGCAACCTTAGTTACATAGGGTCTGTTTAGTTACTGTTGAAAATTATAAATTATATGCTTCAGACAGACATACGTGCTTCATCATGACATCAAACCTACCATCACCAAAGAGAAGGAAAATATAAAAAAGGATGTCTTAAATAATCATCGGATTCAAATCGATAAGAAGAGAAAAATAAAGTAGCATTGCGAAAAATAATTAAAAGCATGAGTGAGATACTTATTGGAAAGTCTTGATTATGCTGCAGAGCACAAAATGTGGTAACCTGTTTATTTCATGACATGAATAGTTGTGCAGTGATATCATTGTAAGTAACCAGGAAGAATGAACATGAAGTATTTTCTTCTTATTTCTGACCATTATTAGGCCCACCAGCGGCCGAGCGGTAAAGTCGCTGAACACTGGTAGTTCGGTCCGAGGTTCGAATCCCGCGAACGGGCTGGCTGCATGGGCATTTTCGTGGTTTTCCCAATGTGTGACGTGTATACGAGCCAGTTTCCCTTAGAAAGTCCTCCACGAAGGCATCCCTCCTCTTAGGCAGATAGCCCTAGTGTGCTTTGCCATAATTTAATACACACATTTAATACACACTGACCATTATTATGGGGTCATCTTCTTATTTCTGACCCATTATTATGGGGTCATTGTTTTTTAATTGATTAATAATTATACCTTTTCTGACGTATAAGATTCTATTTTAATGATAGTAAAATGGAAAATTTTAGTCTTATTCAGTTATGAAAAACAATCTTTGTAGTTTGCCATAGTTTGAGGGTTATATTTATTGTGAAGAGATAATGGAAATGGTACTCAAAAAATGAATGGTATACAGCTTTGAAGTTTTATTGTTTTTTCTTAAAATTGTGATTAAAATTTTAACTTCTGTAATTTTAAGCTTTTGGATGTGTTTTAAGCCTCAAAATTCTAATGTATCAATTTTGTATTTGTTTCTATTTTATTGCCATTATTATGTTAAATCAAAGGTGCTTATAATTTTGCCTGTACTTATAAATTGATTGTTTTCTCTGTTAATAATATAAAGTATACCAAGATTTACAGTGTAACTTTCCAGGACTTAAAATAACTGAATTACAATTGAATTGGGTATTGCATGAATGTTTTGTCTTAGTAGTATTATACAGTAACTGTTTAATCAATAAGATAAGTGAGTTTGTATGTGTGAAATGAGTCAAAATTGGCAAATTTTGAATGTATTTAATTGTGGATGTTTTAAATTTTGAATGGTAACTTGTGATATCTGGTAGTAATCCGAAGTCACTATAAGCTATTAAATGTAACTTTTGCATTGTAGTACAGTTCTTTTAAGGAGCTACAGTGTAGGATCAGTTTTTATGTGTGAAAACGTGTTGTGTTGGTTAGCGCATGAATTGTCTATGAGTACATGCGGCAAGAGCTCTTAAGATACCAAGAGTAGCTTGAGTACCAAGAGCTCTTTAAGATATGAGAAACAACTTTTTCCTGGTTTGTCTGTAAAGATTTGTATCACTAGAGGATAACTTTGTCAGAAATCATACATGCTGTGCCATGATTTTTTTTGGGGGGGGGCTTAATAAGCTGCCATGTAACTGAAAGCTTTGACAAATCATTGGGAAATATGAGCTATTGTTCTTTGCCACTTTGTTAAATTGAATAAAAAATTCTTACTGTGAGTATCCAAACCTACAGACCATCAGTAAAATGAGTCAATAACCTTAAAAAAAAAAAAAAAAAAAAAAAAAAAAAGTAAGCAAGTAAAATAATGAAAAAAAAAATTCTCTCCATATAAAATCTGGTATGGAGAATGCAGTACTCGAACAAAACAAAGTAGGTGTGTTGTATATATGATTTTCCTTCTATCTAAAAGATTCTTCCCAATTGCATTCAAACACCTGGCTAGGGAAGTTGCAATGTAGCCAGTAACATTGATTAATTGTATGCTTTCATTTCACTGCTTTGCCACCCTAAATTCTAAAAAATTTGCTATCCCTGATTTCTGCTTTTCTGTACTCCTCTAAATTATAAAATTGTTACCACCTAGTGCACCTGCACTGGCTTTGGCAGCGGCCCTGTTTGGTGTTAGCATTCATTTACCAGATGCAAACAAAGCCCCAATGTTGCCCTATCTACATTCCATCTTACTAGATTTGAACTGATAATCTAAAATCTGGGGACTTTGTACTGCACTACTTATTTTTAATGCTTCTGTTTTAGACCAAATCATCAAAATAAATTCTTCCTTTAATTCAGTATTTTGTTTCATTTAATATTTCCATTATTTATTTCTTACCTTTGTGAGCATTTCTTATCTCCTGAAATATAATTCATAGCAAATACATAAAAAATGTGGAGAAAAATAAATTGCATGCAAAATTTTACATTCTTCTTTTGTGTATTATACTAATTTTATTTTTTCTTCAGGCTACAATAGGTATAGATTTCTTATCAAAGACTATGTACTTGGAAGACAGAACAGTAAGTGCTTTGATGTTTTCTATAGCTTGAAGCATGCCAATTTCATGAACCTAAAAGTTTTTATGTGTATGGTGTTGAGGAATTTCAGTTCTATATGCTAAGAGGAGGAGTGATTGTGATTTGACTCTGAACTGAGTGTAAGAGGTTAAATGTATCGAATTGATGCTTCAAATATTGTATGCTATCTTTAATTTGTTTGTAAAATTTAATGCATTTTATGTAACATGAGATTCTTGTAGTATCTTTTAATTGTTCTCTTGGTTTATCATCTTTTAATTAAATTCAAAAATATTAATTTAGTAACCTGTTCAAATGATTTCATAAAGAGCTTCTTTGAAGAATATATGCATACTAGATATATTAAAATAAGTTATAGCTTTGCAGTGTCAAAATGTAGTGATATTGTAAAATTGTAGTATGCTGATGTTTAGTTACACCTATATGTAGAACTATTTATAAAATTTTTCTTGAATAGGTGTGATATGTGTTATACCTTCATCTGCAAGTGTTTGTATTTAGAGTTAAGTATATATCATCTATCCTAACTTGAAATTTCTAGTAAAATTAAATGTCTGGCAAGTTTATCTTTTTTTCACCCTCCCCTTTAATTTTGGTGTGATAATATATGCAGAGGTAATATGCACAGTTATTTTTTTAACCATTAGTTTTGTAGATAATTTTTAAAAGGTTATAATGAAGAATAATATTTTAATGTGCAACAGAGAAAGATCAAAGTAGCATTTTTTAGTAGGATTGTTTTAGACCTTTCAAGCAAAAACTAGTTTATAAATCATGTAAGCTTTAGTTAACCGCAATTTTTATTGTAGTGTTGATATCATATTTAGTACTGCTATCAGATAAATGTTTCTGTAAGTCTTTTGAACCAAATTTATTATAAGGCAACCACTCGATACAATAAAGTTATAAAATTCACTGTAACTACAACTTTGAAGATTTACTGCATTATTACCACTCCATTTCTTTTATAAAAAGAATGAAGTGTAGAATTAAGAGTGATGTTACAGTTTTAAATGTTTCAGGATTAATTTTTTCCTAAGGGTTCTAAGATTCTAGAATTTTTCATAAGTACTTATTTTTATTTTATTTTTATTTTTTTTTTTATTTTTTATTTATTTTTTTTTTTTTGTTGTATGAGGTTTTCAATTTTCATCTGATACCCAGTATGGGTCACAAGGACCTGAACATCACATTCTGCCTAATGCTGTTGTTAATGCATTGGCTGCCAGAGTTGATGTTGTGTGTCTATTCACATGCATAAAGTACCTGTCTTAAATTATTTTCTGTTTTATTATTTAAATATAGCCATAGTAGATTACTTTTAGTAGTAAATAAATTCATACAAGTGTACTGGTAGTTAACATATGAAATAATATTTTTGTTCTTTGTGGCACTTACAAGATAACTCAGATCTGGGCAAACAATACTTACATGTTCTATGGATTTGAACAAAACTCTTGCATGTGCAGCATTTTGTTTTCCATTAGTCACGCATGAGTCAATAAGAATTTGAGCTGTCCATTTGTAACATTTCCCAAGTGAAATAAACCAAGGAAATAAAAATGGTTTTATGGTCTAAACATTTAGTTAGTGTACTTACATTTTGTGAAATAAATGAACAATTTCAGTCACTAAGTGTATTTAGTCCCTTTCTATGTGCCAAATAACTAAACAAGCAAAACATCGTATGCATATGCTATGGCTGTACGTGGTGATTTATTTAAGACAGTCAGTAATGAGTTATCCCATAGCAGGTGAGTAAGCTCAGTTTGCCTATTTGAAGTATTCTCGTAGATGGTAGCAAATAAACCTTTAAGGAAAGTCAAACATTTAGTTCAATAATATTAAGTAAATAAACATTTATTTGAATGTTTACACAGCTTTTCTGCAAGAATGTGTTGTGAAGTAATCCTCAGTTACAAGAATTTAGTGTGTATGGAAAAAAATCTCCATGTTGTGTCAAGTTGATACCATAAACTGCAGTTGAAATTTTTTTCCACTATTTTTCTAAAGTTTGACATACATAACTTTTGGAACACTATGTATAATAGTCTTACTCTACTGTCCATTTTGTAGAATTTATCTGTATTACTTTCAAGGAAGTCGCAGCACTCAGAAAGGCAACCTTGCCCATAATCAGCTGATTAGTACTATGAATGAATGACTTTCAAATATTTCCCCTACCACTTTACTGTTACTTCTTGCAGAGAAGCTTGTGGAACATTACATACTGCATGTATTTTTTAAATATATTTTTGATGCCTTTGTCATCCAATTAGAGGCATAATACTACAACGGGGCAAAAAAATATGACTTTTTTGGACATATGTTTGTTTGGGAACACCAACAAAGATATGCCACTATATGTATTCATACTTAAACTCTATGTACATGCAGTGTGCTCATACTGTTTAAATACTCTAGTAGCTAAATAGATAAGCATGTTGAACACTGGCACTTAAGTCCTGATGAGCAAGCTGACGACATGAATGTGTTATAGTTTTCCACTAGCAATTTTACACTAGTTTTTCTTGGAATGTCTCCATAAATGAACCATTCCCTTAGTTAGATAGCCTCATGGGCTTTTCATACTAAGTTTTTTTTTTTTTATCAAACCAACTTTATAAAAATTCAAAAGTGTCTCATTTGTCTGTAGCAGATAAATAAAGCTTATTATTTTTAATTGTGTGTGTGTGCGTGTGTGGGGGGTTGCTAAAACAAGTAACTTTAAATATATTCTCTTAAAATAATTGAAATGCATGAGTCATTTGAAAACTAGAATATGCGTAGGCTATTTTTTTTCAACCTGCACTAGGCTAAAGATAGATGAATGTACAAAAAATGTTTTATGACCATAATTAATATACAATACAGGTTATGTCTACATAATCACCCTGACGATTGAGGCATTTGTCATATCTGTGAATAAGCTTTGCAATACCTTTTTCATAAAATGTTCCCACGAATGATTGGAAGTGAGTTGTGACATGGTTTCTTTGAGCTCCATGTAATTTTGGAAGCACTGCCCCCCCCCAAGACACTGCTTCAGTTCAGGGACAAGTTGAAAGTCACTCGCTGCTAGGCCGGGATTATATGGTGGGTGTTCGAAAATGTCCCATTGAAATTGCTGAAGGAGCCGTTGGGTTACACAAGCACTGTAAAGGTGGGCATTGTTGTGGATCAGAGCAATTCCAGAAGTCAGCATTCGTCTTTGTTTTGAATAGCTCTCCATAAGCGTCACAAAGTTTCACAGTATGAATCTGCATTAATTGTCATTCCAAGCTGCATAAACTCCACAAGCAACACATCTTTTTGGTCCCAAAAAACAGTTGCCATAACCTTACGGTTGTTGAATTTCTTGGGTCTCTTTGGAGAATTTGTGTGCACCCATTGTTTTGATTGTCATTTCAGGCTTGTTGTATTGAATCCATGTCTTATCACCTGTCGCAGTGGATTTAAAAAAATCTCCATCAGTATTGTAATGGTCAAGAAACTCCAACGCTTCAGCTATTCGGCGAGTTTTGTGGTCATCAGTCAACATATGTGAGACCTAACGAGCGCAAGCTTTTCTGTAGTGCAACTGCTCATTAACTATAAAGTACAGGGATCTTGAAAGTTCCAGAAATTTCATTGATAATTAACTTGTGGTGTACCTTCGATTTTCCTTAGCTACTTGGTCAACTCGTTGAACAATGTTGTCTGTAGCAACAGACTTGCGTCCTTGACCCCCTTCATCATGTACATCAGTTCGGCCATTTTTAAACTTTCGACACCATTCACGAACAACACTGTGAGTCATAAAGCTGTCTCCATACATTCAACTCATTTTTTGATGAATTTCCCCTGCACTGTTCTCTTCTGCCTGCAACAAACGAATAATAGCTCACAATTCACACTTCAGGATAATCAATAGCAACAGCTATGTTTACGTTACTGGAACTCGACAGGAAATGGTGTGTTGAACTTGCCAGTGACAGAGCGTGTGGAGGGAAAGATGTGCAGTCGCCTATTACACACACCAACCACCTGCCGCATGCCTGCCCATCATACCGTGCAATCAGATGTTGAAAAAAAACAACCCTCGTAATTAGTTATTTTTTACAAATATTTATGGGCGAAAACATCAGCATGTAAATGACTAAATATTGAGTTTTAAAGTAAAAGTTTTCCATAATGTTGTTATTTTTATAGAAGTCGAATTTTGCCTTTGTAGTAACAGTTTATTGCATGAAATCTGAAGCATTTATATGGTTTAATTTCTTTTTGCTTTTTATTATATTCTGATGTTATTGAGTGTTGTATTTAGTATTATATTTGCTTGTAATTTTCTCCCAATATGTATATATTGATACCTCAGTCTCACCGATCAGTTGTGTACATTCTCATTTTTGCTTGTATGGATGTTAGTTATTATTTTTATTGATAACTAACATATTTATTACTATTTTATTGGTAAGTAATGTATCAATAGTCATTTTATAATTTTATTACTTATTAGCTTTTTGTTCTAAATGGAGAATTCTGAGTTTTTTTAGTAATTTGTATGTTCTTATAATCATAATGACAAATATTTTCGTAGGTGAGACTACAGTTATGGGATACTGCGGGTCAGGAACGATTTCGTAGCTTAATACCCAGCTATATCAGAGACTCAACAGTTGCTGTTGTTGTTTATGATATCACAAGTAAGTAAATCTTCATCATATTTGAATCGATAAGTATTGGAAATATAGTTTTATATCTCTTCATTTGTTGTTTTGGGATCAAATCAGTGTAATTTGTGTTTTGTATGCTTAGGAGGCTTGTATAGCAGAGTTTAGGAGAAGAAAGGTCTGGGTTTCATGACTCAAATGTCCTTTTTTGCTTTCTTTCTGTGTTATGTATATGCTTATGTTATTTATATGGGAAAAAAGATGTACACCTAAACTACTGACCATACAAAATGCCGTACCATAAAGGAAGCATCCAAACAGCATGAAACTTGCAGCATGTGTATACCATGATGGAATAAGCAAATGATTACGATTTCAGTGCAAGTGCAACATCATAAGCAACATCAGTGCTCTTAAAAATCTGTATATAAAGGGAGGTAAGATTGCTGTTTCGAATAATGTGAATTGTTCTCTTGTGAGATTTTTTGTTTTTACAGCTTCAGTATGCTCATAGAAAAACACAAGCATTATTCGAGCATGTTTCAGAGTTGCCAACTCTCCCAATTTAAGCGGGAGACTCCCGTTTTTCGACCGCTCTCCCGCCAACCCGATTTACGATATATTTCTCCCGACTTTTTCTTATTCTTAAAATTTCTCACGACTTTTTATTGCAACTTGGCTTAATACTTTGTTATATGAACAAATAAAAACAAAAAAAAGTGCTTTTGGTATGTCTGAAAGCAATTGAATTTTCTCTACATTATATCTAAAACAAAACCATGCTAATCAGATAGCTTCTGCTTTGTGAGTGAGAGCATTATACGTATCCAGAAACGTCGTTCTCCAGTTCTCCAATGGGCTTCGAGCTCCACTGCGTGTCAGCTGGCATATATTAGCCAATGAGGACTAGGTAAGTTGTTATTTGGACGTGCTTTAGTTATTTCTTTCATTTTGTCCAGAGTTGTGTGAGTACACGTGCCTCAGGGAAATAGTTTTAGAAATTATCATCTATTGCTACGTCTGCGAGAAAGTGAAATACTCGTGTACGTTTCAAAAATCGTACACAGTTGACTTTCATTCCATTATTTCCTCAAAGAAATGTAATAAATTTGCGTTGTGTACCGCCCGTCGTTGCGATTTTTCGATTTCGCATGGTGGAAGGGCGGATGTTCTCAAACATGTACGTACGCAAAAACACAAGGATAACATGAGTTGTTTTTGGAAAAAAACAGAAAATTAAATTTTTCTTCGGAAACAAAGGACCAAAAAGTATTATTAATGCAGAATGTCTGTTCTCTGCCTTTTACTGGAGCACATCCTGCCACTGAATGCATCGGATCACGCTGCAGCTTTATTTAGAAAAATGTTTCCCGATAGTGAAATCATTAAAAAATACTCAAGGTGCAAGAATCAAAACAGGATCAATTGTTAAAGAAATGGGTTTGAAAAATAAATCTTCAGTTATTGATAGCATTAAAACAGCTCCTTTCTGCCTCTCTACGGATGGAAGTAATAATACCGATTCAAAACTGTATCCAATTGTTGTTTCTCTTTTTGATCCAGAGTCTTCAGAAATTGAGTGCAGTTTACTTTATGTTCCTACTTTAGAAGGACATTTGACAGGCTTTAATATAGCACAGCTAATTATTAAAACTTTAAAAGAAAATGCAGGCCCTCTGGATAATTGCTTAGCACTTGGTGCCGATAATGCACCAGTATTGGTAGGCTTGGAAGACTGGTGTTGCAGGCATCTTAAGAAAAGGAAAATTCAGATTATGAGGTGCACCTGTCACCTCTTAAATTTAGCAGCTGAAAAAGGGGGCAGCTTCTTTACCCATAAATGTGGATGAACACATCGTTGATATTTATTATTATCTTGAAAGGAGTTCTAAAAGGAAGGAAAAATTGAAACAATCCATCCAAGTCTTCATTCAAGTTTTCTAATTGTAACAGCTGCATAACAGCAGTTTACAATTAGAAAACTTGGATGAAGTTATAAAATCAGCTAGGATTGACACCCAATGGAGTTTAATTGGAAAAGTGAAAGGTGCTGATAGAACTGTAAAGTATAGTGAACTGTCTAGAATTGTGTTACCATCTTGACAGTTCCCTATAGTAATGCAGAGTGTGAGAGGATTCTCAGTGTTACGAAAACGAGGACTAAATTTAGATCTAATATTAGTGATGACACATTCGAAAACTTTTATTAGCGAAAAACAGGCCTACGTGGTAATTGCTGTGAACAAAATTATGAAGTTTCTTTCTTAAAGAAAGCAAAATCTGCCACTGTTTATAACATTTGTACGAAAACTAAAGTGTCTTTTTTTTTTTTTTTCCTTAAACGATGCAAGTAATAAAAATGTTTATGTGTAAGGTATTTTTTTGTTGCTTGCATTTAAGAATTAGTTACTTTTTAAAGTTAATTCATTATTAAAAACTATATTTTTATCATTTAAAAAGTCTTTTTAACAATGTGAAAAATCTCCTGATTTCTTAAAAAAATCTCCTGATTTTTGAGTGTCATAGGTTGGCAAGTATGATGTTTTCTGAGTGTGATTGAAGCAAAATCTTTGCATACAGAGATTGTGGATTATCCTTCTGGAAAATCGGACATCATATCGGACATAGTTAAGCAACAGTCATGCGAATATGGAATTGGTGGATGCAGGAGGGAACTTCCTTGTCGCACCATTTCATGGCATGTTATCAGACATATTGTGCACATGGCACTGATGGAGCACACTATCACATCTGCAACCATATTACAGCGAATGCAGTTTGTAACCCAAGTGTTGGTGTTTGCACAAAGAATTCAACATTGTTTACAGTACAATGAACTGTTTGCTGGGTGTCCATTGCTGAACTTACTTTTAAACCACAGGTGTTTGCTATGGTGGAAGGAGGAGATGGACATCTGATACGTTTTTGGCTGAATTACACAATCTGCTACTGTACCACCATGGTCGAATTAGAGTTTGGAGACACCATAGAGAGCGGCTGCTCGACTGTTGGGTCATGCATCATCATACTGGCCCTGCATATGGTGTTATTGTATATGTTGGTATTGGGTTCCACTCTTGCACCCTGTAGTATGCATTATCAGTACGTTTACCAGCCAGTGCTATATATCTGAGGTTTTCTAGCTTTGTTCTTCCTTAACCTTGAGGGCATGCTTGTGGCCACATTAGAGCAGGACAATACATATGACCACACACTGCACTCGGTGTTCAAGCTTTCTTCTCAGCCCACCATACTGCCTTGTTACCGTAGCTTGTTGTTCTCCGTATGTATTGCCCATTGAACATATCTGGTCAATGACTGGAGAAGCCTATCCCAGAATGCCATAGCTGTGGGGTACACTAAATGAACTTTGGCTATGTATGAAGGTGGCATAAGCTGCCATTTCCCAACAACAAATCTAAAGCCTCTATCACTCAATGCTGCGGCTTATAGCAGTAGTTATTGACAAATGTTGAGGTAATACATATTGTTGATTTTTCTTGTCTTTCTGACCTTAAAGGAGGCTGTATTTCAAATTAACATTGTTACTGTATCTCTTGTTCTCCATGTTAAATTTTGAATGGACAGCAGTGTAATAAATATTTAGCTACTTCGATGGTATGATAGTTAACAAAGGTTGGTTATATATGCTGTTAAATTTAGGTTTGATTCATATCCTGAATAAGGCATGAATGGTTTTGATTGTTGTATTGTTGCAAGATGGATGAATTTAAATTTGAAGTTCCAGAGAACTGTAGAAATACCATTTTCTTAGTGTGCCTTTTTTTAAAGAATTATTGAAATAGTGATATAAATTCTCTTTACAGATGCAAATTCTTTTCTTCAAACGTCTAAGTGGATTGACGATGTAAGAACAGAGCGAGGTAATGATGTTATCATTATGCTAGTTGGAAATAAAACAGATTTGGCAGATAAAAGGTAAATGCTTCATTTATGCACTATTAGTAAATGATGTGCTCTAAATATGAAATGCATATATATATCTGTATATATTGGTGCATGCAGAATATTGTATGACATTATGCTTATTTTTTTCTCTAATTAAATATTATTTGTTTCTGTTTTGTGAAAAATTGTGGAAGTGTTGAAAAATCTGCTAATTTTTAGGAAGTTTTTTAATTTAAGTGGTCTTTTTATTTTTCATTTGATGCAAATTGTGATTATTTTGATAATGATTTTTCTTTGTTGAGATTTACACTGTACTGTGTATTTAATTTAACCCTCTGAGTGTATAATTACTTATATCAGTCTACATTTTCATAAACTTACATTCATTAAGATGATATTTACATAATTAAGGAAAGTAAGAAAGCAAAATATCTTAAATTATAAGCTCTAATACATACATACCAAGTAGCAAAACTTCTGATGACCGGGTGACGCTGAGAGGGTTAAAGCTGGCTGATTTTAATATCTGAACGTCTTTGAAAGTTTCATATGAAGCATAGCTGAAAATAATACCAAGATGCTTTTAAAGGACATATTTCAATAGATATTCAGGTTTTGAATTTTTTGTGTGAGAAGGGATATTGAAAATGAGACATAGCTCTTCTTTAACAGTCATATGCTGTAAATGTAAAAGTAGAATCAGAAGACATTCTCAAAATATATAATGCGAAAATATTATTCCTGTGATAGTGTATGATTCTGAAAAAAATTTTTTTTTGTATTAGTCTTTTCAGTTATCTGATAGTCACATAGTTAGTGCTTAGCAACTTCATTGTGGTATTAGTATCTATTTTAAAACATGAGAACAAGTTTAGAGCTTTCCACGCTTATGTATCTAGAAGAGATATGCATTTTAATTGGTTTCACAAATGGTTCAGACCACTAAATGTTGGTAATTTCATTTGTGCTCAAATCCAGGCAAATACACCAGTTACAGTTCATGGTTTTTCCCATGTATAATGTGAATACAAGCAGAAATGCCTCTACAATGGCATCATTTCCTTAGTCTGATAGCTGTCGTGCACTTTGCCATATTCAAATAATTTAACCTAACCTGCATTTGAATCAGCAAATGAAAATACCTTGAAAGCTTTATGAAGGTACAGTAATGGAGTTTTAAATTGAATAATAAAAAATAAAATTTCTTCAAAAGACAAATGCTGCAATTTAGATAATTTGATTAGTCTCCTGATACCCCAAACAAGTAAAATTGCATGAAATTGCTAAATCTAAATAAGAGAATGAAAAGTAAGCAAAGTTGCTTGTGGATGTTATTTATTCTTCCAAAAGATAAAAACTGTAATGCAAAAGTTGATGTGAATAGAAAAAAATTGCATGAAATTGCTAAATCTAAATAAGAGAATGAAAAGTAAGCAAAATTGCTCGTGGATGTTATTTATTCTTCCAAAAGATAAAAACTGTAATGGAAAAGTTGATGTGAATAGAAAAAAAGTTACGTTTCATGGAAACTTTAAATGATCGAATGGCAAAGTTCTTAGTATTCAGAATGTAGTTTTGCCTGTTATAGAATTAGTTTTGACCATTCTGTAATCAGTACTATTTTTAACAGTATTACTGTTGTCATGAAGTATGGTGTGTGGTTTTGACATAAAATTTATTGCATTTTAATAATTTACCTGTTCATCCTATGCTAGGCAAGTAACCACAGAAGAAGGTGAAAGGAAAGCTAAGGAACTGAATGTTATGTTTATAGAAACTAGTGCTAAATCTGGATACAATGTAAAACAAGTATGTGCAATTTTTCATTATTTGCTAAAAAAGATCTATGCAGATTAATCTTGACTCTTAGACTCCATTCAGACGGTGGAATTAATGTCATAGAGGCATACTCATGGGGCATGAAATGCAAGAGTTTCGTTTACACCTGCAAGACAGAGTCTAAGCCATAGCCAATTAGAAAAGCTAAAATTGTGCTTGGGTGCATGTGTCTACGGCTTTCCTACTCGCTAGATTTCACATGTTCTCTCTGATTGGTCGACTCTTATACCATGTCGGCATAAGGTTGAAAACTTTGTGCCAAAACCTTTAAATCCATTTTTATGATGTAGCAAGGTCTGTTTAACTAGAAACGTAGCTCAGCTTAAATTAGTTATGACATTTATAACACTGTCTGAACAGAGCCTTACTGTGGATGATGGGTTCCAAGCATTTCCACCTTTTTTTAATATTAAAAAAAAAAAGGGACCTCACGGATTTTGACTGTATAGCTAAAATTATGATATTTGCTATGTGAGATCTACATAAATGACAAATACAATAATTAATATAAATGAAAGATAGAAGCTTTTCCAGAGAGAGAAAACCCCCTTTAGAGGTTTCTCATATAAGTTGCGCACATATTGTAAACTCATGCTGGTGTCAAATTTTTTCTGTGTATTTACATTGCTGATGGTTATTAGTCAAATGTCGGGCATTTAATCAGCACTATTATTAATTTATTTATTCTTAGGACTTATTTGTCCTCTACTACTAGGAACTTCAGGGAACATGAGGTTGTAATAACTTGGCATTAAATATTTTTCTGTTACAACCATGTCTGTCTACTAAGCATGTTATAACAGATGCTTACCGCATTTGACGGCATATAAGACGCACTCTTTTTCCTAAATTTGGGCTCAAAAAAAGTTATCTTCATCTTATACGTGAAGGACACAGTCTTATACGTGAAGGTAATTGCATTCAATAATTGTTTATTTGGCTTTTACGAAACGTGAGAACTAAAAGAAACCACACTATTGAAACTTTTTTTCCGTGTGTGTGGCCGTCTAAATAAGAGTGCGTCTTATATGCCAGTGCATTTTATATGCCGTCAAATATGGTATTGTAACTTCAACGTATTATATTTTTGTTATTTTCTTCATGAATCTGAATTTTAAGAAATAATGAAGTTGAATGTATGAGATATTTCTGCCAATTATGACAAAAAGCATTTTTTTTTTTTTTTTTTTTTTGTAAATACCATTTTGACCTCTTAACCATTGTGCCCAACTCGCATATGGGTAACATATGGATTTTGTTGTACATGTACATTCTATTGCCTATGCTATTCATAAAATGAACTTGTAAGAAGTTGTCCTATTCTGTCACTATTTTAACAGAGTAGTAGTCAATAGATCTTTACACCATTTCTTTAAATCTGATTTTACACTAATAGTTATTTGTTCTTTTTCTTCACAAGCACAACCCCTTACAGGCCATGGCTGCCTCAGTCATGTCCTCCTTCCAGGGTGTTCTGTCTACAGTGACTCCTCTCCAATTTTTAATTTTCAAATTTGTCTTTTTTTAATGTAATCTAACTAGTTAGTCGGTGGTCTTCTTTTAGCTTGAGATCCCTCAGTTTTTTAAGGTCAAAATCTTCGTGGGATTATTTTCTAAACATGGCACAGCCATCTTAATGTATTGCTATGGACTTGTGTTATTTGTGGCTTCTTACGAAGTCTGTACAGTTCAAAGTTATATCTTGCTCTCCAATGTTCCTGTTCCTGTACTGGGTCAAAAATCGCTCTGAGGACATTTCTCTCAAACATCGCCATTGAGCATTGTGTCTTTATTGAAAGTCTGCATTTCATCGCATTAAGTAAAATAGGTGGTATTAGTGTCTTGTATAATTCAAAGTTTTGTTTTGGGACTTATAAGATTAGATCTTTATTATCTTCTTATTCCAAAGAAGCATTTATAAGCCATTTTATTTATATTATCAATTTCTGATCTTATTTTTGGTATTAATTATAATGCCAAGGTATTGAAATTCCTCAACCTTTTCAAAGGTGTAACCATTAATGCACATTGGTTACAGTAGTGTAACGTGGAGGGCATAATTTCCATGAATTTCACTTTATCCTTATTAACTGTGAGGCTTATATTTGTGGCAGATGATTTGAGAGCTGAAAAGTGACAATTACTGCCTTTTCCGACCTTCTAATAATATCTCTATCAGCTGCTTAGGCTAGTGTTTGCATGAACATGTTTCACAAAATATCCGTTTGGTCTAAACCACTGTGTCTGTTGCACTTTTCTAATGCTAAATGTAATAGCAGGCAAGTAAGGAAATCTCCTTGACATAGACCTCTGTTATAAAAGGTTCAGATAAATGATTTTGAATTTTAATCCTACATCTTGCTTTACCAACTATAGCTTTAGTTAAATGAATAAACTTGGTAGGGATTTCAAACTGTGCCATTGCTTCAAATAGCGTGTCTCTGTGCTGTCATGTGTTGCATTAAAATCTATAAATACATGGTAAGTTTTAATAATACATTTTTTTCTCCCAAGGATTTGTCTTAGGGCATGAATTTGGTCAGTAATAAATCTTTGGGGGTCCAAATTCACATTGGTAGCTTCCAATCACCATATCACCAAAGGGTAGCAGCCTTGCATAAAATAGATGGGAGTGTATTTCATATGCCGTATTGAGAAGAGTAATACCCCTATAATTACAACATCCAAGTTGATCTTTTTTTAATAATAGGGCAAATGAAGCCTTCTTCCCATTCAGGGGGTATTTTCTTCGAAATCCAAACGTTGATCATAATATTATGAATGGCACTTAAAAACACTGGTTCATCTATCTTCAGTAGTTCAAATGGTGTAATCAGGACCAGCCGATCCATTGTCTTTAAGTTTCTTAATTGCCAGCGTAACTACTACTTTTAAGGGTGGTAGGGATTCATTTCCTGTATACTGGGAAGAATTTGGTTCTTAACTCTTCTCATTGAGAGAGGGCCAAATCTCTTTTACTCAAACATTTAAAGCGCTCGTGTCTACAAATTTCTTCTGGAATGCTTTTCCTTCCCCCCCATGACAAATTGAATACTACAGCACTAAAAATAACCTCCTTAAGTAAAGCAAAAACTTTCTTGGACATTTTCACCCTGTGTGAAGTTCCCCATTGAGACAGGATTGCAACTTCGGTCATCAATATCTAAACATTGACAGTAAACAAAGGAAAAAGAAGGTGCATTAAATTAACAGAACTACTTTTAGTCGCTTCAAAAGAATGATTGACATGTCATTTAACAACTTCTGAAAGCAATGAGCTATACAGTAACGTGATGGGGGAAAGAACTAGGTAGGAAATTATCCAGGCGTTTCGGGCGACTGCCATTGTCTGAATGCTAGGGGCGTTTGGGTCGACTTTGATGCGAAACAGTTAAAGATTCCAAGGGAGTTGCCAGTTTCATTTTTTTCCTTTCAACAGATCTTAAAAATATCCCTTCCAGACACTCAATATAAGGATTTCACCTTCAAGTTCTCCATTCTTACCTTTATGTGTAAATAGTTCTTGGTTTGAAAACTTTTTTTCATATTATTGACTAGTTTATAGAACCTCCTAGATACTTCTGGCTATTCAAATTTTCCAAGTTTTTTAATAATTTTTTCTTGGAATGAACCTTTTTTGTGTAGTTCTTTCCTCATATCACTATATTTTTGTATATAATTTCTGGTATAGTGTTTCTGTATTATTATCCTGTAAGCCTTAGTTTTGTTTTCAGTGGTTTCTGTGCATATGTATCAAACAAGTCATTTTCTGTACCAGATTTTAGTCTTGGAAGCGTTTCAAGTACTGATCTCAATATCATTTCTTTTACAGAGTGCCAGCTAATTTCACAGTTTTGGTTTCTGTTATCAAGCTCTATTATCTTTAGATAACTTGAGCTTATACCTTCTAAGTATATCTGGATCTTTGATTTTGACCATGTCTGGTCTAAAACTAATATTCTCTTTCCTAGAATAGAATTTCTTACATATTCTGTATCTTTTTTCAATAAAACAAGCATATGGTCAGAATCCACATTCGTACCTCTACGACTTCTCACATCCATTACATTACTACAATGTCTGCTTTATCAAAATCATAATCTTATTCTCTGAGACGCAAACTTGGTCTCTGTCCATTATCATTTGTCTTGGCATGAAGGCTTTCATTTTTGGCGTGGAAGCTGGTGTCTCGTTCTCTTCCAGTATTGGCATTAAGTCTCTGGTGATAAGCTTCATGTCTTTCAAAGGACAGGAGTCATAGCTCTTCAAAAATAAATAATAAAATTTGTCTTTTTTCAATTCATCCTTTTCTGTTGGTGCGTGAGCATAAATCAAGGTGGTATTGTAGTGTCTCCCGCTTAATCTTATCTTGCAAAGCCTCGTGCCGAAACTAGAATTTGTCTTTGAAATCTAAAATTGAGTTTCTCAGCTTTTTGCTCACAAGTTATTTGTGCTAGAATTTGATAAAATGTATGCTTTGCGTAGCCTTTTTTAACAACTTCTATTTTATTGTATAGTTATATTAAATTAACAATAGTTTTATTGATGATTTTAAGCCCTGCAGAGTCTGGTTGTAATTATGTATTTTTTCTCATAAGCATTTCTGTTACAGGACTGCAATATTAGATTACGTGTCTCATGTTTTGAGATTTACTAGAAAAAAACTTAAATTTTCAAAACGTCATATTTCATGAAATGGTGTGTAGTTTTACACAAATGAATTTTCTGTCTTAAACTATATATGTAAGTTATTAATTTATGCATGTAGTTTGTAAGTACTTATAGTTTCATAATGTAAATGTGTCAACTAAGGCTTCCTTGCCCACCTTGTATGTGTGAAGAAAGTCCAAAATGAGGTAAATAATAATAATAATAAAAAAATGCAAGAGTATAAGGTAATTTTATATGGCTTAAAAAGTTAAATTTCACAAATAATATGCTGCTTAGGATATCAATTATTTGATAATTTTGTAATAATAAATATGAGCAGTAAAAAATTATTGGAAGAATTTTATGAAACATGTGATGTTTAAGTGGTTAATTCCCATGTAATAAAATAATGCCACTAAAGAAAACACACAGAAGGAGTGTGGTACAATAAAATGCAAATGCATAGTAACAAAGAGCATAGGAAATTCATTAAGAAATTAATCACATTTTCAACAGCCATTTTTGCTGTAAGGAGTTGACTCGGACTGTCTGAGTAATCGAATGTAGCTGAGAAAAGTGAACTCCTAGGGCTAGAATAGCTTTTAAACAATTTATCATAATACTTTTGTAATTTTCCAAGGTTAGTATTGAAACTATTTTTGCAGATGCTATAGTGACAGTTTTGATACATCATTTTTAATTATTGAAATATTAAATGTTAAATATTTAAAAGGTGAGCCAAATATATTTTACATAAATTTTTGCCGTGGCAAATCTTAAATTTTGTTTACTGAATTACAAAGCTTGATAATAAAGTTCAAGACTTACTGCTGGTATTCAGGAAGTTAAAGATTATTCAAGTTTATTCCACTTTTTCTCAGTGCACAATTATAATCACTCCAGCATATGTTTAGAACCTTTTTGGGGGACATTTATCAGAATACTCTCAAGCTAGATAGTTCGGTGGTCAATTTTTTGTCAAATTTTTGTCTTTCATGAAACTTCGTACTTTCAATACCAGTTTCAACTTGTGAAAAAGTGAAAAGTTTGAGGCAACTATACATGGGCAATAAGATGAATGAATGAGCCAGAGAATCATACTGCAATATTAGATTACGTGTCTCATGTTTTGAGATTTACTAGAAATAAACTTTAATTTTCAAAACGTCATATTTCATGAAACAGTGTGTAGTTTTACACAAATGAATTTTCTGTCTTAAACTATATATATAAGTTATTAATTTTCCTGTGTTTTTGTCTTTCATGAAACTTCGTACTTTCAATACCAGTTTCAACTTGTGAAAAAGTGAAAAGTTTGAGGCAACTATATCTGGGCAATAAGATGAATGAATGAACCAGAGAATCATACTTGCCCAAGAACTGTGTCATTGGCAGTGTTGAGTGTGCCAATTTATTGTCATTGCAAAAGAGCTACTAGCTACATTCTCACATTTGTGGCCTTAAACTACACCTGTATTTGGCATCTGAAAATTTTCAGGAATGGTTATTTTTGTGCTTTCGGAAGGCTTTTTCATATAAATGCTTCTACTGCTGTTGATATATGTGATTAATACTGTCTTATTTGTTTTGTTCCAGGAAGCTCACTTTTAGATATTGGCATATTTTCCATTCTATATTTGGCTTGTTTGATTATGAGTCATACTGAAAGTATTGAGTCCTCACTTGTAACTGCGTTCCAGCAGTGGTTCTAATTCCATGGTCTTGACAAGTAACTTGCAGCTGATGATTCTTTGCACTTTTCTACTTTTTTATCAACCATATGGTGCTTCAACTCCTCCTGTGTGCAGTCTTTTTTTCCATTTCAGAATCTATTAGTTTATTTCATAGCTGATAGGCAATTCACCCTTTATCATCTAGATTGTCACTGGATGATCTGAAGATACAGGCCCACCAGCGGCCGAGCGGTAAAGACGCTGAACACTGGTAGTTCGGTCCGAGGTTCGAATCCCGCGAACGGGCTGGCTGCATGGGCGTTTTCGTGGTTTTCCCCATGTGTAACGTGTATCAGCCGGTTTTCCTTAGAAAGTCCTCCACGAAAGGCATCCCTCCCCTTAGGCAGATAGCCCTAGTGCGCTTTGCCATAATTAAATACACACACACACACTGAAGATACAGTTCATGAACGTTCTTTAAAATGACATTCAAACAGTTGGCTGATAACTGCCTACTACTGGGGTCTTTCTCAATATAATCTTTTCTCATATGAAACGGAGTGTATCATTCAAACATAAAATGCAACTCATTGTCTCAGTAAACATTTTTAATCATTGTGTATAGGAATCTGATGGTGGGAAACAGTGTCAGTTTGCCATGCAGGCTGGGAACAGTGGCAACCTGTTCCAGCCAGTGGCAAACCTTTAATTATTATCTTCTGAACTAGAATTTCACATTTCCAGATACTTTGTCTGCGAAAGAAAGGCATAATTTGACACACATAATTCATTTTTGTCATTAATGTTAACTGAATAATAGCAATAGTCCTGGAATTTTATTATGTATATCGATCATTTTAAATTGCTTAAAATATTAAGAAATGTATAAATTTAGGATTAATTGAAAGGTTAAAATAATTTTATCAAATCCTTGCCTTTGCCCTTTTTCATATATTAGCAATTATTTATTATCTGTTGATGAGCAATTTTTGTATTAGTGATTGATTGAGGAAATATTGCCCTTATCATTATAAAGGATTCTATTTTTAATGCCTCTTCAGTACATTGTTGACAAGAAAGGTTGTTAAGCTTTTTGAGTTTCTTTCTAGCTCGGGCTTACTGTCGGTTAAACATTAAAAGCTGTACAACACTTAACTGCTCACCTTGATTTTTACAAGTCCTTTATAGCTATTTTTCTTCCCGGGCAGATAGTCTTTTGTTGCCATTGTGTAATCCAGTCTAGTCATTTTTTCCACTTTCAGCTGTCATTTTCTGATGATAGATGCCACCAAGTTTGATGTTAAAAAAATTAAGTGTCATAAGGTTTAAATCTTAGCTATACGTTGTGTTACTTTATGAAAATTATTTTTTGAAAATATTTAATCTAATTGGAGGAACTGAGATAATGTAGCATTTCTTCTCATACTTGAAGCAGATTATATGTCTGTAAATCCAAAAGATGCACAGCGACTTAAACTATTAATGGCAAAATCCAGTTTGTATTTGGTTTCAGTGAAAAGAAAGCTGAATGCTTTACAAAAAAATGAAGGGATCCATTTGTAAAAACCAAGTAATATTCTTGGTTTGGCAGGGTTTTTTTTTTAGGAAATTTTTCAGAATTCTGCCTGATAATTTTTACACAGTTAGTCTTTTACTTCCAAGGGCATCATTCAGTGGGAAATGTAAATAAATGCTTTACATGCTACTTCCAAATGTGTACAAAAGTTATAGAATATTATTTTTCAAGCAGTATTTTAAAGTATTACTTTTAAGTAACCAGAATGCAATAAAATAATAGGAAGAGTAAATTATGTTATTTTCTGGCTATAAATGAAAAGGGGCAAAGGAAACACATCCATCAAATGTGGTGGATGCTTGTATTTATGCTTATAGAATTTTAAATATGAAATAATCAACAAAGTAAATATTGAATTTATTTATATAGCTCTTCAGGCGTGTAGCTGCTGCCTTGCCTGGAATGGAAACACCAGAGAGAACTAAAGAGGATAGTATCCTTTTTTTATATAGAATTTTAAATGCATATTTAAGTTTTCTGAATTCGAGAAGTGATTTTGATTTTACAGTAACACTTCCTGCTTATTTATTAGATATATGCTTTGAGCCCTATAAACAGCTATGATTGTTGTTGTAGATATGCACTTTGTGTTTGTAATTAATAATGAAATGTTTAGTCTTTGGTTTATTTGTGTGCAAGATAGCATGATTTGTATTTTTTTTTGTTTTTCCTTGACTGTGTGCTCCAGTTGTTGATGTGGATCTCAAAGATGCCCCCAGTGAACCGCCTAAACCTGATGGTGGTTGCATGTGCTAAAAATGAAGCTTCACACTTAGCATCTTGGCTTTTGCTGCCTGCCATTTGCTGTCCACTTTTGTACTTAAAACTGTCACCTTTGTAGAAGACTAGTCATTGTTTTAGAAGTCTTCTAATAAGCATTTCTTTTCATGGGGAAAAAATTGCTGTTTTGTAATGAAAAATTTGATTTTTTATTAGCTATTCTTAATAAGCATGAGCAGTTTTGTTTTGCTTTTGAAAAACGTGCATGTGTTTTTGCTTAGAATGCAGCAAAATTGCTTTTTTGTTTTAAATCAAAATTTTATTTTTCTGTACAGTGAGATTGCTTGTATTTTTAAATTAAATATTAGGAAATATCAGAATACGAGTTAAAAATGAAATGCCAAGTTAGTTTTATATCCTGTATTCTGTAAAAAATGAAATTTGTACAAAGTATACAATTTTGTATTATGGGAAAATGTGGTAGAAGTAGTAAAAAATCTATGTTAATTATTCCTTTTCAAATCAGTTTTCGTTTTCTGTCTAAGCTAAATCATGTCTTGTTTGGTTTTTGTTTCGTATGATTAGTTGAATATTTATTGTACTGTTCCCCTCTTGGAAACTTTTTTTTCTGTATGTTAATATTAATCAGATGCATAATGTTCTAACCTTTTGTGGTTGATTTAAAAAAAAATCATTATATTGTGTTGTTTTCTGTGTTCATTTACTGTACATAATCCTTGAAATCTACCGCTCTTGTTTTTGTAGATATTTATTTAATTGCTGTATATAATTTTGGTGTTTTGTAACTAAAACAAATTTGTCCCATGAACACAAGGGGGTAAACGTGTAATGCAGAATCTGCAGCGCAGCTGTGAGTGTTTAGGACATATGTGGTCTTCTGTCATATTTATGTTTTCTGTGCATTTCCATATTAACTGACATATGAAAATATTCTTCATTTCATGAATGTTTAAAGATAAGAAAAAATTTCTATCCTAAGTTAAAGATTTGAAGCATCTGGCTTAAAAATTTTTGTGATATAAGAGTTCTTGATACAGTGTAAAGTGTTTTGTTATTTATTTGATGACTACATTTCATGGATTCAATGGTACACGAAACGCTAATAACAAATATATTTTTGTAGAGGTATTGCTTTTTTTTTAATTTATTTTGATTTATAAAATTGATATAGTTTTTACTTATAAAAATTGATACAGTTTTATAATAAAAACAGAGTATTTAAATGTTACTTAAATTATTTATTAATTTTTTTGTAATATATACCATTATTAAATGCTCTATTTGGCAGTTGTATGGTGTTGACAGTTTTCTTCCTGCTGTGTCTTGTAACAATTTGGTATAGTTTAAGTTAAAAACCTAAGTTGTGTTAAAAAGTTTTCTAAAGCTACAAATGGGTTTCAAATTATATTTTATTTTACGTAAAACTCCAGTTATTATGGATACAAATTTTTATAGTTTTAAATTACCTCTCAGAGCATTACAAAGTGCATTATTTATGTGTGCATATTATATACAGTTGTAACACACAAATTATTAATATTATAAAGCTACAAATATATTGAACAGTTCTTTGTAACCTGGCTGTCTTGAATAAGAAGCAATACAGTTAAAAAAATTCATTGTTTTATAAATGAGGTAATTGGAACAAAAAAGTTGAATTTTCAAATTGTTTATTGAGTTCCACGAAATAAAATTAGGATTTTTTTCTTGAGATACAAAAAGTAAGGACAGTTTTATATGAATTGGTATCTGTGACAAGCCTAAATTTCTCTATTTACCTCATGTTATGAGACATTTTCTGATGCAGTACCTGATTTGCCTGTTCGTTATTTGTAAGTTAAGTGATATCAGTTATGAAGACTAGTTTTTTAATTATCTGTATCTGGAGTGAGAGGTGTCTTGAGAAAAAGCCTTCATTTTTACATCAAAATTTAAAAAAAAAAAAGAAATTTTTCAATTTATTTTATTTTTTGTTTTGTTGTTTACTTGCAATGAGTTCTGCGATTTGGTAGCTTGTCATGGGTAACATAATTTTCTTATACTGAGTTGGTTATTGTCACTCATATATTTGTAATTGCTCCTTCACTATCAGTTCATGTTCCTGAAATTAAAATGTTTCTCAAAGCAATATACATTAAAAGCGTGGGCAGAAAGTTATGTTAAAATGTTGTATCATAAGCAGATATTTGTGTAAACATAACAGTAGTCAGAAAAAGTTTTATTTCCATTATGAGTTTTACTTAGTATCTCTGTTTTTTATTTGGAGGGGAGTTGTCTGGCCTTTATTGTGTTCATAGAACTTGAGAGATGTTTTTCTATGAATATACATGATAAGCAGTTGTAAAAAATTGCAACAAAATTTTGAGCTCCCTAGTTGGTATTTAGCATTATGAAATTCATTTTTGCTGATAGCATTTATGGGTAACATTTCTTATGTTAATGCTGCCTGGAATTTGTAATAGCCTCCACAGCTTTCTATGCAAACAGTTATATTCTACAGTTGTTATAAGGCCTGAGTATATTTTTTGTATTGCTGAAATTAAATTTGTTTCAGATACTTATTTTGCCAAGATTTTGTATAAATATTGAAGTTTTTTCACAACTGTGGAGGGAAAAATTTCTCCTTGTGAGGCATCCTAATATGTATTGTCCTGATTATATTTAAACACTCATTTTGCTAGCTTTCCGTTAATTCTGTTCTGTAAAAGAAGCCCAATGTTTAAAAAAAAAAAAAAAAAAAATATGGGTAATAATTTTTTTTTTAGAGATTTTAGGTAAAATATGCCAGGAAATAAAAAAGATATATTTTGGTAAATTGCATTGATACATCCCCCTCGAAATTTCTGTGTATTCTGAAGAAATTTAACTTTTTAAAGAATTGTTATTTTTAATATGGTATACATGTAATCTGGCAGGTTTAACATCTGAATATGCATTTGTTTTGCACACTGAAATCATAATAAATGAATTTAAAATTAAATGTGTTATGTTGTGATTTTGCACTTAAACATTGCATACTTGTCCTTGCTGTGAGAGATTGCCTTTGTTATTCATTAAATGAAAGAACTAAGAAATAATGTTTTCAGGACATAAAATATTTTATCTTTCTGTGTTCTTGAGTACAGTAAATTGTGCTTAATTATCATTAAATATGTACTTCATAAAAAGTAACATACAGAATCTTAATATTTCATTAAAAAACTTTTATATGAAAACTAGCTCATTAAGCATGGGAAATACTGATTTTCAATTTTAATGTTTATTCACATGTATTATTAACAGCCCTGAGACATATTAAGCTAATTTTATGTGAAAAAACAAAATAGGGAGAAGTGCATCTATAAAAGACTATAAGGAAACTGTGTCATATTAATGTTAAAAATTTTTTCATAATCTAACAAAACTAAACGTAGCTCTAGAATGATTGTAAGAAATGTGCTTTCAAATGTTTTGAGATCTCCCATAAAGGCCATTGTAGCACTTCTCAGCTGTGTGAAAAAAAAGTTTTGGTTTGAGCCAGAGTTACATGGGTTTTAGAATGTGGTGTGATGTCTTGTGTAATGCATGTTTACTGTGTAACTGTACTATGTAATATAATGTATGTAATTAAATATTTCTGTTTAAAATGTGGAGCAACTGAAGGAGCATATTTTAAAAATTGGTATGTTCCATAAGTGTAATTTAACACTTGATTTTGAATGTTCTAGTTTGAATCTCCAGTTATGTTTCAATTGCTGAAAATAATTTGAAAAATTATTGACCCATAAGGAATAATTTATAAATTCTACAGTTTGACAGATAAGGGAAAATGTTCCACAGATTTATACAATTTTTAAAAGATATTAGTAGGTGAAAACAGTCTGTAAATTGGTCATTAAATTCAGTCAGTTTTATAGTTTCTTTCTTAATTGCTATTTTTATGTTAGAATAGTCAGTGACCTTATTTCTTTCTTATCCCACGTAACAGTAAATTCGGCAGTTCATTACAGCGATTATAGGAAGAATTTGTACATATTTGGTGCAATTTTAAACCTTAATGCTTAGGATTAGCACTAGAGCTATGTGCCTAAATGGATGAATACCTTTATAGAGGACTTTGGAAGGGAAAATGATATCATATTTATGTTTTATTATTTGGTGAAAAATCTATTCGAATATATTCTGATTGCTTTGAAATGATCAGATTTCCAGTAGTTTAGCTTATTTGGATATGGCAAAGCTTACGAGGCTATCTGCCTGAAGGTTGTTTTTGGTGTCAAATCCTGAATGAAATCACTAGTGTTTTATGTGCTTTAGGTACCACTTATTGCTGAGGCCGACAGTGTCTTACGCGAGTGTCTCTCCAGGGCCGGGGGCTTGTTTGCTACTAAGCCTAAATCCATGAAATTTCCGAAGTATCAACGCATTGTTTAATAATGCTCTATAGAGTATTTAAACGGCTTATGCTTTATAAATATTTTTATATATATTTTAATTACCTTATTTCTTGTTTAAATGCATATTTTTTACACATTTTATTTTAATTACTCACCATTTTATGAATTTTAACATTATACATCTGAAAACTAAATATATTACTTAAAATTCTCTTTTTCATATGAAAAATTTGAAAACAGGGATCTACCAACAGTCCTACTTACATTCCTTGAACTCGTAATAACTCATTTGCCGTTTTGGAGGATTTTTCCGGGA